CAAAATCTTTTTGATATTTTCCATTTAAGCTTTGTCAATTAAATGTTATTAAATAATTGGTTAATAAATTATTTAAATTAACTATTTAATTAAAACCTTAATGAATCCCTTAATAATCTAAAAATTCAAAATTAATCATACTTTTTCTGTAAAAAAGTAATAAATATACAAGCAAATTTTCTTCATAAAGCTTGTTTTGATAGTTCAAAAAAATAAATATATAATGTAAGTATTATAATTTTTTATGGTATTTAAGCTTTTTTTTAACTATGAACTAACTAATTAAATTGTAATAGTTAGAATTCTGGTTAATTGGAAAATAAATGTTGAGCTTTTAAAATGCATCAACAAATTATTAAAAATATACACAAATAAATGGTCATAAAATTAAATTTAGTTTTTCAATTAATTATTTCATTTATTTATTCCTAGATTCCTGATAAAGCTATTTATTTTTTTGACCTTTACATTTTTAATTATAAATATTTTTAGAAAAATACTATTGTATTTTTAAGTTTGTTTCATATTTAAAAAGTAATAAATAAAAGATTAAAAATTTTTTAATTTAAAAAACAAATGAAATTTGTTTGTGTGCTTATTAATTATTTTATAATTTTTTTATTTATTTTTTATTTACGAATATTATTAGAATAGAATGAATTATTAATCTTTTTGATTACATTTAAGATTTAATTATAGGTTATATATGAAATTACTTAATTTCTTAATGAAAATAATAAATTAAAAAAAATAAACATTTATTTTTTAAATAGCACTATTTATGAGTGGATAAATTAATCTTTATTTTAATATTTTTTTTGATTTTTTGTATTTTTAGTTGAAAATTACTTTAGATTAGAATTTATTTCTTTTTATTTTTTCTTCTTTATTTTTATTAAGATTTTGAATTAAACAGAAATAATTTATTTTTGATGCTTTGCATAAAATATGGATAGATTTTTGATTAATTGGATTTGCAAATAAATGAAAAGATAGATTTGCTATACTTTTAGAAATATTAGGAAACAATAAGAGTAGAGAGAGAGATATTTTATCTATATATTAATTAATATATATATGTTTATATGCATGCAATTTTTCATGTCATGTTAATATAAAAGATTGATTTTCATCAAAATTGAAAGAAATTCTATACAAATTCTGAGAGAATTTGTTAGTTTAATAATTAATTAATTAATGAATGAATGAATATTGCCTATTAATAAAATAAATAAATAAATTAGTAAAATAAAAAGATAAATAAATCAATCAATCTTTAAAGAAATAATTAAATAAATCATTTAATTAGTAAATAAATAAATAACTAAGTATTCAAAGATAATAAGTAAATAAATAGCAAGATATGTTCAGCGATTTTAATATGTATGAAGCCAAGGTTTTCTTGAAAGCTGTGGCTGACGCTTAAAACACCTTTAGGTGAGTGTTTGAAGTTAATTAAAAATGCAGTATTATATATATATAAGAATATCAATTAAAAGTATTCAATGATGAATTTGTTCATTTATTGATTTATTCATTCTGTTTATCAAATGGAAAAACTATGAAAATTCAAAGAAAATATTATTGAAATGCTGCTTATAAGAATACAATTTAAAAATATGGATGAGAAGTGATTTAATTTTTATTGTAATTTAATAGGTAAACTGCTCAATAAGAGAACTAATTAGCCAGATATGAAAGCTAGTCTTAATCTTTGCTTAACGGTTCTACTAGCGGAGCTGTAATTAACAATTTATAGAAATCATTTATACATAATTCATATTCATTTATTTATTTATCTGCTCTTAATTGATATAAAATGTGACTGTCCTTTACTTATTGTGATATTTAAATAAAAAAGATTTCTATTACTGGCGATAATATTCAATAAGGAAGAAATTTCAAGGCATTAAAGGAAGTTAAGCTCTTCTAATACTCCAAGTAAGTTTTCAAAAAGCTATTTGCAATCAATTTACAATAGTAAGAACAATGGTTTTTCTTATAAATAAATACAATATTTAAAAGAGAAATCGTTGTTTTATTAGTTTTTTATTGAATGCTGCATACTTAATTTTTTTTAATTAACTAAAACAGCGAAATCTTTAAGAAATACTTGGCTGGCTTTGACTCCTTCAGTGGCGATTATACTGCCTTCAAGAAATTCTTAAACGAAAGTGTTAAAAAAATTGAACAAGATGCTTGAGAAAAGGAAAGCTTTGTGTTTAGTAAATGGAAATAACTTAGTTTTCAAATAAATAAATAAACAAAAATAAATGAGTTTTTCAATTCATTTACATAAAAAATATTTTATTTTGTCTTAATCAACTCAGTAAACTAAGTTAATCAATTAAAAATAGTATGTCATTTCATATTGCTACATATTAACTTCTTTGCATGTTGATTACAAAATATCTATTTTTCTATCAAATCAATTATACAAAAGATATATATAAATAAATAAATAAAAACACACAAATATTCAAGCTAATTAATTTACATTCAAAAAGCAATTAATTTTATATGCAATTTCATTCTTTATTCAAATTAAATCAACAAATCATTTAACATTTATTCCACTAAAAAACGCTATTATTCTATTTACTAAATTTCATTTTTTAATGTCAAATTTTGATTAATTTCATATTTATTATTTGAAGAAAACCTTTTAACAAATTATTTTATAAGCTCTTCAAAAAAAATAAACTTTAACAAATATTTTATTTAAAGTGTGTTAAAAACAATTTTTATATAAAATAAGCTAATTTTAAATAAGAATTGCTTAAAAAATTTACTTTATTTAGAAAGTAATTTAGAATTTAAAAATATTAAAAGCATAAATAAAGAAAATAATATTTTAACAAATTTAAATTTTTAAATATAAATTATTTTTTATTTTTTTAATTAAATTTTTTTTTTTTTTAAAAAAAATAAATAATTTTATTTGATCTATTTTCAAATTATTATTTATTTTTTATTATTTTAATTTTAAACAAACATCTAAAAATTTAATATTTATTCTTTCATAAAATAATTTAAGTTATGTGATATTTTATTCATAAAATAAATATAAATTAAAGTTTACTATAATAACAAAATTAAACATATTGAAATTCTTAAATAATTAAAATTTTGATAGAGCTTGAGTTAATTATTTAAACTAAACATTTTTTAAAGTAAGAATTGATGGATTAAATTATTTCTTTATAATCTTCAGATAGAAAGCTAAATTTTAAACTAAAAGTTTATCAAACATTATGAAAGAAAGAAGTTTTATTAATGGATTTGGGTTTATATAAAATATTAATAAATAAATTAGTGGAAAGATGGAATTAAAAACATGATATAGAATGCTAAAATGAATCTAAAGTAGGATGAATTAATGAATGAATGAATTTAATATAATAATTATATATTTAATTAACAAAATTATTTCTAATTTTATATTTATTAATTTGTATTTATTTATTTATCTATGTATTTATATTTATATATATTTCATCAAAAGTCCTCTTGAATGTTTTCATAGTGGAAAACTGATTTAATATCATCGTTATTGGCAATAGTTTTACCAGCATAAGGAATGTGCTTAGTAAATTGTGCTGGAGCGTTCCTATTTAAATACAAATCAAAATTATTTATTTAACACTAATTAAATTTATAAATTTATAATTACTTGTATAGTTTAGGATTATTGAGCTTTTCTCTGAGTTCGTTCTAAACTTCAATAGGAAGTCCACTAATTAGTTAAGTTAAAAAACAATTTATTAATCAGTAAATAAATAAAAGATAAAACATGCTTTTTTTTTCATTTGCATGAATAAATAAAATATATGGATAAATGTTTGTTTGTTTATTTGTTTACCTTAGATCAAGGCTTTGAATATCGAATCTTGGTTGAGCAGTTTGAGGTCTGCTTGGAGACAATGATTTATTCTTCTTTTCACTTGTTATACCAGCTTAATAATATTAACCGTCATGGGGAAGGACGGGAATAACTTCTGTGACTTTAAGAGCTAATCTATTTTTTTAAGCCTTCTTTCTATTTAATTCATCAATAATTTTTTTGTGAGGAAGGTCATCAGCCCATTCTTAATTGGCTCTAATTTACTCTTCAGTGAGTTATTATGGTTGATACTAATGCTATTGTTAGACATATTACTATTATTGTTATTGTTGCTATTAATAATGTTAAGCAGTAGCAACTGTTGCTGACTTTTATTGTCTTTATTGATTTTACTACTAATGTTATTCATCTTAGGCTGAAATCTTCACTTATTTTTAACTTGCAGATTGAGGTTTCACCTTTCCTTACAATTCTTTTATGGATGGTTTCTTTGGTTTTTGAGGAGAATCTGCAAAATCTTAGAATTGAGTGAAACTTTGAGTGTGAGCTTTAGTGCCCTCTCTCAATTACTTAAGTTCTTCCTTTATTCTCTTTCTCCTATTAAATAAATTCAAATTAATAAGTAAAACTAAACCCAAATAAATTGTTAATCAAAGCATTTATTCATACTATAAATCAATCAATCAATCAATCAATCAATCAAATAAACCAACCAACCAGCCAAAAAATTCAAATTTCTAAAATTCACCTTATCTATCTAAAATCTGGTTTGTTATTTTTGCAAAATTGTAAATTGAATACATATTTTATGTAGATTATCAATTGATGCTACCTACCTTAAATTAAGAAGGTTATTTAAAATTTATTAGAATGAATCACTTTTGAAAAAATCATTTGAAAGGCTAATGGTTGGTGTTATTTTATGAGTATGCATAGTATTTATATTTATATATTTTTTATTACTTTTCTTCTTCAGTGTTGGCAACATTAACTGGAGAGTTTTCATTTGAGGCAAATCTAAGACTGTTAACTAAATCAGGCTTTTAGATTCTCAAATTTTCTCTTTTGTTGACGGTAGCTGTTAAAGGGTTTCTATTCTTAAGATCATCGACTTATTTCTATATTAATTAATAAATAAACATTCAACTTATTCATTTTTAAGATGAAAATGTGAAAATCTTTATCAAAGATTATTTTTATTGTTTTGTGTTTTTACTTGGCTCAATCTGAAGTCTTCCTTGACGTTTCTGGGAGGTTGGGGTTCAGAATCGGGAAGTCTTTCACCATAGTTAAGAGCGTTGTTGTAAGATTAGATGTACTTAGGTTGGTGAATACCTCTATGAGGATTTACATTGTGAGAAAGAAGGTATTAACCGTAAATGGGACCACCAATAGAGGGATTTACATTACCCCTTCCGTAGTTTTCGAAGGCAGGTTTACCGAAATAAGTAGTGAAAGCACTGTTTGGCAACCATCTAGTTGTTTCTTCCATGTGTTTAATTCTTTGCTTTCTACGATCGATTCTTTCCTTTTGGTATTGAGGGTCTAACTTTTATGCCTGGGGTTTGTATTTAATCAATTTGGATTTAACATTTTTAGTGTTAACAGTGGAGAATTTCTTAACTTTGGCTGCTTCTTTCTTTGCTTCTTCTTCCTTGAGTCTTTGTTCTCTCAATCTTTAGCGTTCAATTTATTATTGTTGAGTTAAATTCTCTTAATCTTCATCTTCGTAGTCTTCTTCGTTATCATCATTAGGGTGAATGAGCTAGACAGGTTCTTATTCATAAAAATTATTAACTTATATCTTAGAACGCTTATCTTGCTAAGCCTTTTCAAGGAGAGCTTCTGTTTGCTTTTAACTTAGCTTGTGATTCTTTTAAATGATATTTATTAATTCGTTTGGATTGTGGACATCGCTTATTTCGTATTCTCTCTAATAACTAGTCTTAGGTCCATGCAGATTGTGAGCTTAATGATTCTATTGCTAATTAACCTATTGCTATTATTATACTACTGTTAACACTTATGGCTAGTGTTAATGATGATGATGCTCATGTAACAGTTACTATTGTTAACCCCTCAACTTATCTAAGACTTCAGGTTCAACCTCTTTTGAAAATTTAAAAAACAAACATTAATTTATATTTAGATTTTATTTATATTTATTTATCAATTCAATTCAATTAAATTCAATTTATTTATTTATTTATTGAATTTTAAATAGATTCACTGGAAATAAAAAATAAATATCTGTTTCGTAAAATATATTTTTGTTTCCAAATTTTGTCAAAAAAAATGATTTTTTTGAATGAGAAAAATATGGCTATTGCTTAATCTCTTTTAAGATAAGAAGTTTTGAGAAATTTACCTGGAACGAGAACGCCTTCTTCCTTGTCTAAATAAAATTATCTGTAATTATCTCTTTGTTCGGTTTGGAAATGACCGCTGCTCTTATTGATCAAGATTTTGTATTAATCAACTTCGTTATTTGGGATATGGTTGGACTTAAAATCTTGCTTTTACTATTTCTTTTCCTCCCAAGAGAGTATATCAAACATAGAAGGCTCAGTATTGCGCTAGGGATACTTCATGCCAAAAACTTTCTTCTCCTCTATTAAATTAAATTTAAATAAGTTTCAAAATGATCTTAATCAAACAAGCCTCTTTCTAAACAAAATCAGCCCTAAAAGCAATCGAAATGTCTGAAAATTCTATTTAATATTCTTTTTTTATTGAACTCGACACTTCCAACTCGAAAAGCTGATTCATTTATTTAGAATTGCTAGCTTTTTGATGTAAATTAAATCAACTGACCGTTAATGATTTGCTTGTAAACATGTTGTGTGTGTTATTCCTGAGCTCTTTGCAACTAGGCCTATGCAACTGCTTGAGCGTCAATTACTTAAATCTGTTGCTATTACTGCTTTTATTACACCTATCTTTGAGCCTATAACTAAGCCTTATTTTAACTTTGAACTTAACTCATTTCTTCTTGTCTGAGGTTAGTTATTGTTGTTGTTGTTGTTGCTCTTGTTGTATTTGTTATTCTTATTGTTATTTATTTCTCTTGTATTATTTTTATTTTTCAAAATTAATTAGAGTTTTTCTTATTATTTCTTCTTTATCTCTCAATCTAGTATGCTTGTTTTACATTCTCAAATATCAAGCAAAAACTAAACTAACAAGCAACAAAACAAATCCATTTCAATCTTAAATTTAAAAAATCTCTATGAACTGTATCTCTTTCATTCATTCATTCATTTATCTAATTTGATTTTTAATACTTATCATTCATTCATTAATTAATATTCTCTCATTTCTTCATTCAATAGTCTATGGTATAAACACAATTAATTGATAAATCAATAGAAAGCAAAATAAAATAATGTATAAATAAAAATCATATCTTCAAATCCACTTTTTATTTTTGAAATTTAATTTTTTATTAATATTTGTTTGTTTTTTTGATCTACATCACAAAATAAATAACAAATAAATCAAACAATAATTTGAAATCTTTAACCTATAATTCAATTCAATTTTGATTGTTGCAATATTAAATCAATAAAAAAACTATATAAACGATAATAAGAATGCGAACTAATAAAAAAAAAAAAAGGATAACAGAAATATGCGTAAGTAAGTAAAAATCTAAATTTTAGTAAAAATTATTTAATAAAAAAAACCATTAGAATAACTTACTTTTCTAATATATTTAATTTTATCACAAAACTTAAAAAAATGGATTATTTATTTCAAACATTAAATAATAAATTCTTATATTTATTTCTTTTTAGAACATTTATTCTTTCTAATTATTTATATTTCTAAATTTATATTTTTTTCTTTTTTATTGCCTTAAGTTATTTCTAAGTTCTTCTAGCCATTTTATGATTTGGGTTCAGAATTAGGCATTACTAATATGATTTGATAGCTTCATCCAGTAAGCCTTTCCTAAATTGTAGTAGCAACTATCTTTATCCGGATTAATCTCTAGGCATTTCTAATATGATTTAATAGCTGCATCCAGTAAGCCTTTTGCTTTGTAAGCAACTCCTAAATTCTCAAGGCAACCATCATTTTTAGGATTAATTTCTAGGCATTTCTAATATGATTAGATAGCCTCATCATGTAAGCCTTTTTCATAGTAAGCATTTCCTAAATTGTTATAGCAAACATCATTTTTAGGATTCATCTCTAGGTATTTCTAATATGATTAGATAGCCTCGTCCTGCAAGCCTTTTTCATTGTAAGCAATTCCTAAATTGTTATAGCAAACATCATTTTTAGGATTAATTTCTAGGCATTTCTAATATGATTAGATAGCCTCATCCAGTAAACCTATTTCATAGTAAGCAATTCCTAAATTTTTATAGCAAACATCATTTTTAGGATTTATTTCTAGACATTTCTAATATGATTTAATGGCTTCATCCAGTAAGCCTTTTTCATTGTAAGCAATTCCTAAATTCTCATGACAACCATCATTTTTAGGATTAATTTCAAGGCATTTCTAATATGAATTAATAGCTTCATCCAGTAAGCCTTTTGCTTTGTAAGTATTTCCTAAATTGTTATAGCAACTATCTTTAGTAGGATTAATCTCTAGGCATTTCTCATATGATTAGATAGCCTCATCCTGTAAGCCTTTTTCATTGTAAACAATTCCTAAATTATTATAGCAGCCTTCATTTTTAGGGTTAATTTCTAGGCATTTCTAATATGATTAGATAGCCTCATCTTGTAAGCCTTTTTCATAGTAAGCAATTCCTAAATTGTTATAGCAAATATCATTTTTAGGATTAATTTCTAGACATTTCTAATATGATTAGATCGCCTCATCCTGTAAGCCTTTTTCATTGTAAGCAATTCCTAAATTCTCATAGCAACCATCATTTTTAAGATTAATTTCTAGGCATTTCTAATATGATTTAATAGCTTCATCGAGTAAGCCTTTTGTTTTGTAAGCATTTCCTAAATTGTTATAGCAAACATCATTTTCAGGATTTATTTCTAGGTATTTCTAATATGATTAGATAGCCTCATCCTGTAAGCCTAATTCATTGTAAGCAATTCCTAAATTCCCATAGCAACCACCATTTTTAGAATTAATTTCTAGACATTTCTAATAGGATTTAATAGCTTCATCCAGTAAGCCTTTTGCTTTGTAAGCATTTCCTAAATTGTAATAGCAACTATCTTTATTAGGATTCATCTCTAGGCATTTCTAATATGATTAGATAGCCTCATCTTGTAAGCCCTTTTGATTGTAAGCATTTCCTAAATTTTCATAGCAACCTTCATTTTTAGGATTAATTTCAAGGCATTTCTAATATTATTTAATAGCCTCATCCTGTAAGCCTTTTGCTTAGTAAGCATTTCCTAAATTGTTATAGCAAGCATCATTTTTAGGATTAATTTCAAGGTATTTCTAATATGATTAGATAGCCTCATCCTGTAAGCCTTTTTCATTGTATGCAATTCCTAAATTGTTATAGCAACCTTCATTTTTAGGATTAATTTCTAGGCATTTCTAATATGATTAGATAGCCTCATCTTGAAAGCCTTTTTCATAGTAAGCATTTCCTAAATTGTTATAACAACTATCTTTATTAGGATTAATCTCTAGACATTTCTGATATGATTATATAGCCTCATCCTGTAAGCCTTTTTCATTATAAGCAATTCCTAAATTCTCATAGCAACCATAATTTTAAGGATTAATTTCTAGACATTGCTAATATGATTTAATAGCTTCATCATATAAGCCTTTTGCTTTGTAAGCATTTCCTAAATTTTAATAGCAACTATCTTTGTTAGGATTAATCTCTAGGCATTATAAATAATATTAGATAGCCTCATCCTATAAGCCTTTTTCATTGTAAGCAATTCCTAAATTCTCATGACAACCATCATTTTTAGGATTAATTTCTAGGCATTTCTAATATGATTAGATAGCCTCATCATGTAAGCCTTTTCCTTTATAAGCATTTCCTAAATTATTATAGCAAACATCATCTTTAGGATTTATTTCTAGGTATTTCTAATATGATTAGATAGCCTCATCCTGTAAGCCTTTTTAATTGTAAGCTATTCCTAAATTGTTATAGCAAACATCATTATTAGGATTAATTTCTAGACATTTCTAATATGATTAGATAGCCTCATCATGTAAGCCTTTTTCGTTGTAAGCAATTCCTAAATTGTTATAGCAAAAATTATTTTTAGGATTAGTTTCTAGACATTTCTAATATGATTTAATAGCTTCATCCAGTAAGCCCTTTGCTTTGTAAGCATTTCCTAAATTGTAATAGAAACTATCTATATTAGGGTTAATCTCAAGGCATTTCTAATATGATTAGATAGCATCATCATGTAAGTCTTTTTCATTGTAAGTAATTCCTAGATTCTCATGACAACAATCATTTTTAGGATTAATTTCTAGGCATAGCTAATATGATTAGATAGCCTCATCTAAATAACCTTTTGCTTTGTAAGCATTTCCTAAATTGTTATAGCAACTATCATTTTTAGGACTAATTTTTAAGCATTTCTAATATGATTAGATAGCCTCATCCAGTAAACCTTTTTCATACTAAGCAATTCCTAAATTCTCATGGCAACCATCGTTTTTAGGATTAATTTTTAGGCATTACTAATATGATTAGATAGCCTCATTGAGTAAGCCTTTTGCTTTGTAAGCATTTCCTAAATTTTAATAACAACTATCTTTATTAGGATTAATCTCTAGGTATTTCTAATATGATTAGATAGCCTCATCTTGTAAGCCTTTTTCATTGTAAGCAATTCCTAAATTCTCATAGCAACCATAATTTTAAGGATTAATTTCTAGACATTGCTAATATGATTAGATAGCCTCATCCTGTAAGCCTTTTGCTAAGTAAGCATTTCCTAAATTTTAGTAACAACTATCTTTATTAGGATTAATCTTTATGAATTTCTAATATGATTAGATAGCCTCATCTTGTAAGCCTTTTTAATTGTAAGCAATTCCTAAATTGTTATAGCAAACATAATTTTAAGGATTAATTTCTAGGCATTTCTAATATGATTAGATAGCCTCATCGAGTAAGCCTTTTTCATTGTAAGCAATTCCTAAATTGTTATAGCAAAAATTATTTTTAGGATTAATTTTTAGGCATTTCTAATATGATTAGATAGCCTCATCCAGTAAGCCTTCTGCTTTGTAAGCATTTCCTAAATTGTAATAGCAACTATCTTTATTAGGATTAATCTCTAGGCATTTCTGATATGATTAGATAGCCTCATCCTGTAAGTCTTTTTCATTGTAAGCAATTCCTAAATTCTCATGGCAAATATCATTTTTAGGATTAATTTTTAGGCATTTCCTATATGATTTAATAGCTTTATCCAGTAAGCCTTTTATTTTGTAAGAATTTCCTAAATTGTTATAGCAATCATCATTTTTAGGATTAATTTCTAGACATTTCTAATATGATTAGATAGCCTCATCCTATAAGCCTTTTTAATTATAAGCAATTCCTAAATTCCCATAGCAACCACCATTTTTAGAATTAATTTCTAGGCATTTCTAATATGATTAGATAGCCTCATCCTGTAAGCCTTTTTCATTGTAAGTAATTCCTAAATTCTCATGGCAAGCATCATTTTTAGGATTAATTTCTAGGCATTTCTAATATGATTAGATAGCCTCACTAAAATACTTTAATTCATGTTATATTTAACCCAATTCAAACCAATAAGTTTCATTTTTTTATTATATTTGACAACAAATGCAAATGAATTGATATGCCAAATACCACTAATGAGCCTTCTTTTTCTCCAAAAAATCCTGATAAAGATCTGCTGAATCATCAGAGGTCCAGATTTGCATCCTCATATCTTCAAAGACATCTATAAGTTTCAAAATGCTAGGCCTTTAGTTTGGATCTAAAGAAAGAATCTAAGATAAGATTGAATTCAAAGACTAATCAAGAGAATTCAATTTTTGGTATCCTTTTAATTTAAGTGAGGATAATTCTTTTTAAGAGGCTCCCGCTAGAGCATACAAACATAATCCAAATGCCCAAATATCTGCATCTAAGAAATTCTTTAATATATCCTTTTTATTCTATTCTCCACTCATTTCAAATTATTCTAGTAATTCAGGAGTATAGTAACAGGTGGATCTTTTGGGGAATGTTGTGAGGATCAAAGAGGAGTTGAGTTCTTCCTACGCTTATTTGGCTAGACCTAAATCATATAGCTTGATTTGATTGTGACTGTCTATCAAGATACTCCTTAAGGAGAGATTTATAAACATTTGGTTTTGCAGATGGAGATAGTTGATTGCAGATAGTATCTAACAAGCAAAACTGACTAAGAGGTGTTTTGGGATTTCAATTTTTTGGTTTTTGAAGTCTTCAATAAATTGCTAAAGATTTTTTTCATACTTTTCCATGACAATAAAGTAGTTAAAGCCAATTTAAAACTCATCACAATATTTGATGATGTTTTGATGATTGGTATTTTTCAAAAATAATGCTTCTTTTTTAGCATCCTATAGTTTTTGTTAAGAGACTTAGTCTATTCCATCGAAAATAGAAATTATTTTGATTGTATGATGAGACTTTGAAAGGAGATTCTCTGCGATGACAATTTGGTCAAATGATCCTTTTTATCCATCTAAGTCGATCACTCTAAACTATTTATTTTATTCTAATTGCAATGCAAGCTTTTAAAGATATTCGAATGAGTTTGAATCTTATCCTTGCTACATTTAAATTACAGCTAAAATTTTATTGATTTTTTTTAATTTGGATACAAAACTAATTAATTATTTTATTATTAATTTATTTAATTATTATTAGAAATAAGAGCAGCGAATAGATATTTAAAAAGAAATTAAATAGGGTTAATTTTAACCAATGTAGAATGTGAGTTCCCTCTAAAAAGAACTCCTATCCAAATTTTATTGTCCTCAAAAACCCATAACATTAAAGGGAATAACATAAGAACTTCAATAAGATAATATGAACTCAAAATTATAAGATAAAATATATATAAATGAAAAAAAAATTTTTTAGAAAGAAAATAAAATGTTAACAAAAATTATTTGTTTGCAAATTTGTTATGAAAAATAAATACAATATTTTTTGAAAGTGTAATAAATTTTTTATTTTTAACTAAAGAATAAGTGTAACTAACAATAAAAAGGCAAAAAGCTCTTTCTTTACATTCTTAATTAAACATATATAATAAATAATTAACACCTAAAAAAAATATTTAGAGAGTAGTTATAATATCTTCCATTTTTCAACGAAATCTTATATTTATTCAATTAAATTTGTAAGGTATTTATGCAATATAAAGCCAAAAAAGAAATGAGAACATAAATTTAGCCTTTTTTTTTTATTAATCGTATAATTAGAAGATTTTAATAAATTTGTACCAGAATCAATCATTAAAAATACAATTTTTTATTAGATTGAAATAAATAGAAAATTTAATTAAATAATTTCAGTGGCTTAGATTAAATTGAGTGGTTTTAATCTTATGCATGGAATTAACTTTTAGGCAAAATACATGAAAAAAATCTTAAAATTTTAATTAATTTCCTTTCACAACACAAGTTAATCTTAATTTTATTAGTGTAAAAAGAATTTCTTGTTAAATATCAATATTTATTAAAGTATACTTTGGTTAAATTATATTTTTATTAAAATTCTTAGTTCACAAAAGATAAATAAATTATAATTTAATAATTGTCTTTTTTTATTAATTATTATTGTCTTATGGAATAAGCGACATATTTAAAATGTATATTGTGAAAATAAAATATCTTAAAAGTTTTTATATCACTAATTAATTTGATTAAAATTATTTTATTTTCTTGAGGAAAAAAAAGTATTTTCTTTTATTGAAGTAGATAGAAAATTTAATTAAAGAACTTAATTGGCTTGAATAAAATTGTGCGGTTTTAATTTTATGCGTGAAATTAACTTTCATACAAAATACATGAAAAAAATCATAAATTTTAATTAATTTCCTTTCACACATAACTCAAGTTAATTTTAATTTTAAGTCTAAGCGTAAAAAGATTGTCGTATTAAATATCAATATTTGTTAAAGTATATTTTAATTAAATTATTCTATTACAAAATATTATCAAATATACATAAAACATATTTTATCGAAAAAATATACAATAAACAAATTGACAATAAAAACAAAAGTTGAAAATGAAAAAATGAAGGAGTTAAATTCATAAAGAAAGATAAAAAACAAACACAACTAGAATAAAAAGATAAATTAATTAAATAAAAAGCTAGTAAATTAATTAAAGAATTTTATAGTTTTCATTAATTCATTTTTATATAAAAAAATATAATAATCCAAAATAAATAAACTGTTTGTTTTGACGAAGCTTGAGTATTAAATCTGAAAAATAAATTAAATTAAATTAATAATTAATTAATTATAATTCTATTATAAAATATATATATATATAATTTAGATATTTTAATAAATAAATAAATAAAAAATATATTTCATAATAAGTGTCAGGCAAACCATGAAATTTTTGTTTGTATGGCATAATGCTATAATTAGAAATATTATAAATAATCCTAAAATTACATAGCTAAAACAGAAAAATCTACTTATAAACATTATTTTTATAATACTTAAGAATATTAACTACCAGGTTTTTTTCAAATATTACTAAATAAATAACTGGTTGTCTTTAATTCCTACTATATATATTTTTAAGTATATGTTTTAAATAAAAATATTAAGTTTAAATAGTGAATGTGATATCTCTTCATAAAACCAAATATATAAATTAATATTTGATAATTAATTAATTAATTATTATATTTATTTGTTCTTTATATCCATTAATAATTAATTAATTAATTAAATTTCATAAACTGCTATTCAATATTTTTGAAAAAAAAAATAAATGATATAATAGATTAAAAAATATAATAAATTAGAAGAAGTAATTATTAATTTTTTTATTAACAACCTTTTAATTTATATAAATTAATAAAAAAAGTTTTTAAGCTCTTCACTTTTATCTCATTAGGTTCTCCATATTAATCTGAGGTATATTTAATTAAAAAATATTATTTTTATTATTATTAATATTTTTTGTTTATTTTATTTTAAATATATTTAAATAAATAATTTATATAAAAGAAATTATCATCATTATTTATTGATTTTTATTAAAACTTAAATTTTTTAACAATTTTAACTTAATTTTCATTTCAATTTTTAATTATTTATTGATTATTCATTTTTTATTATTTGAAATTTTTTCTTCATTTTTGCTATTAAAACTTACACTTAATAAAAGCTATTTATTTGTTTTACATTATAATATTTTTAATTATAAAAGTTAATTTAAAACATTAAAGTTCTTTTAATTTATTTGAATTGTTTTCCTTTTTCTTTTTATTATGATTTCTTATTTTTTTTTTTTTTGTTAATTTTATTTATTATTAATTAATCTTATTATTTCATATATTTTCTTCATTTTTTCCTCATGATTAACAATAGTGAAATACCTATTTAATTTATATCTAAATAACATTATGAATAAAGCTAATTTTTAGTAAGCATAAAATATCATTTTTTTGAAAAAAAAG